ACACACACACACACACACACACAGACACACACATACGCATGCACATGTGCACTGCACACATACGCACACGCACACACGCAGACTGAGTTCGATTCCCATATGAGGGAATCAAGTACAGGCGTCTCTGTCTTTTATTTCTGCTGGGACGTTATATATCTCATTCAGCCCCGATTGGCCCGGACATGAAGGGTCAAAGCGGTTCGCGCATTGAAATAATGTTTTGACCTATATGCATCGATAAGGACTTAAACCCTTAAAAAGCAGGTCATAATTGGTCTCTGTGATGTAGACGCCCCGCGCCTCGCTGTCGCACTATAAGGAGACGAGTTCGATTCTTGAGAGAGGAGAAAATTTTTATCGGGTATCTTGGTCTTTCTGCTGAGATGTTGTATCCTTCTCCGCCCTAGTTGACCTTGAAAGGCAGGGTCTAAGCCCGCCTCCTAAATGATCTAATTTATGTAAATGGGGGCGAAAAAAACATCTGCATAAAAAAATATATATACATGTATATAAAATATATAATTACTCATTATGCCGTGATGGAGCACCCAAAGTTTACACAGAAAAGGGTAGTTACATGTTATCGGCTCAGGTAGTGGCCATCAGTGCCATAAAGAGGTTTCAGATTCAGAACAGGGTCATCGGCAAAAGAAGAACTTTTTCTTCGGGTGTCAGGTATGGAGCAGACGTTGACGATCATGGTACCCCACTCCTTCATGTTGTCTGTCTTCCTGATCAGCTCGGCATTCCTCTTTATCTTGTTCGTTGTAAAGTTGTTCAGGTCATCTGTGTATGTTTTCTCTGCTCTTCTTTCTCTCTATCTTTCCACAAAGCAGCAGTTTCTCTCGTCCATTTGGTCTATTTATGTGGTCAAAGAATCTCAACTGTCTTTTTTCTGGTGGTACTGATTGTTGATCTTTCACCACCAAAGCAGAACAGCTAAGGTTTTTAATGTTTACTTCCTTTACGTCTTTACTTCTATACTTGAGCATAATAATATGTCACTGATAGAGTCACCACCACGTACACCCCCTTCCTTCTCCTTTCTTAGATAGATAGATAGATAGATAGATATACAGACAGATAGACAGACAGACAGACAGACAGACAGACAGACAGACAGACAGATAGACAGACAGATAGACAGACAGAGAACGAGTGAAAGAGGCACAGACAAAAACAAGCATGTTAAAAAAAGTATGAATCAGATCAGTACAAGTAGTAAAAAGCTTTGGAAAACAGGGGCATTGCTCTACTTTGAAAGTTGGTCATAGAATGATGATGAACCATTTTGCAAAGGTTCAGGTATTACCTCTTATGTATATGTATATATATTATTTTGTCGAACGTCTACTTTTTCACCTCATTGACCCGGGCGGGGTCGACGCTTCTAGGTTTAAAAAAAAAATTCTCTGCAACCCATCTCTCTCTCTTTCTCTCTCTCTCTCATTATCTCTCTCTCTCTCTATCCCTCTCTTTCTCTCTCTCCTTATCTCTCTTTCTTTCTCCCTCTCCTTATCTCTCTCTCTCTCTTTCTCTCTCTCCTTATCTCTCTATCTCCCCCCCCTCTCTCTCTCTCTCTCTCTTTCTTCCCCCCCCTCTCTCTCTTCCTCCCTCTCTCCTTCCCTCACTC